ATTGAATGGTACGGAAATGTTGGAAGAAATATGTGTATGATGACATTGTCTTAATGGCTAGAACTACTACTTTTGACCCGCCAATGACCCTGAGCTTCCCGTGTTGTACAGGACTTGCCCCGGCCTGCCTCGGGAGCAATGGCGGTTAGTGATGCACAGCCTTGAGACGTTGGCCTTTGCAGAGGGCACCTAAGTGATGTGTATGCCTACTAAACTGCCCAACACCGTATAGCGCCAGAGGTGATTGGTTTGCACACGACTGTGAATGTTACCTCATCTGAACCTTATCCCAAAGATCGCAGCACGCGTGTAGCAAGTCCACGTACACCTGCTCAGCTTTGCGTTGAGATAGGCGCATGCATGACACAGCGTACACCCCAACAGGGCCTGCTAGGAGGAAGAATGTATGGGTCTTGGCTTTCTTGTTAGGCGCGGTAAGCCTCTTTAACCTGGAGCCAATCCAGGTTGGGGCGCTGATAGCGATGCGACTTAGGGCGGCCCTGAAGCGGCTGAGTTCTTCAGAACCTGTACCCATCAGAGAAAAAGCACAACAGGGCACATGACATGGTTCAAAGACTGAACCCTACATGGTTCATAAGTGGAGAGCCCCGCCTCAAGGTAAAGGATGTGGACAGACACTACACCCAAGATCCACGTGGTGGATTAGTGCCCAAATACTCACCCATGACTTCATGTGTATCATTCTTTGTCTTTGCATGGCAATTGTTCGGGATGGCTCAAAAATTTACAAGGGATGCGACATACCTGCAACCCCGGCCGTCTTGGTCTGAATGTTGTTGTCAGAGTCGTACTCAACCAAGGTGTCACTGGCATTTGCTGCACGCAAACCTTGGATGCCAAGCACCACCACGTCCTTGATGACACCCCCAATGGTGTGCATCGCGTCGTATTGAATCATTTTGGATGGATCAAAACCTGGCAGGGTGTATAGTGGACACGCTTCCTTGAGCCCCCGGTTTGCTGCGTCAACTTCACTGAAGCTTGGAAGAACAGGAGACGGCAGCGCATACTTCATCTCCACAAAACTGCGGGCGCGTGCTGGCGCCTGCCCGATGTGCCAGGGCCTGCTTGTGTTCCCCAGATGCAAGTTGCGCATGAAGGGACGTAGTTCGTGTGCCAAAGGAAGCCACGGAAAGTGGTTAGGGTAAATGGCCTTGTGTCCTATCATTACCCCCTTGTGCCAGCATTTGAAGCAAGCATTGGGGCTAGGAGAGCCCTTGATTCCAACGTGCTTCTGTAGACCACGGTAATCGGAGATAAGGCCCACTGCTTTCACGTAACACGTGAAGTTGGACTTGGTGTTGTTGTTGTTGTGGTTACAGTATTTCCGCCGCCGACGCGGCGGGTGCCCTCACGAGCCGTGAGGCTCCAGAGCACGCTGTTGACGCTCATCAAAAACCTCAGTAAGGAAAGTAGCGATTTTCCTCGGATTGGTATTAAGAAATACCTTGCGCATATCAGTATCTTCAACGTTAATCAGAAACCTATTACGCAACTCAGTATACGCCTCACACTCCATGAGCACATGATATTCATCCTCAACCTTACCCGACGTACAGACCTGACACGTACGGCACTCTCTCGGCCTATGGTGTCCTTTGTTGACCTCCAAAGGCCAACAACAAAGACGGAATTTGGCAACCATACGCAACTGGTTGACCGGCAAATAAACACGCACATAGCCTGTGGGATCGGAGCCCTCTCTTGCTGGTGAAGGGGAGCCCATCCAGTTATGATACCTGCAAAGCGAAACCCCTTTACCTTGGAACACACGCGGATCACCCCCTTGGCTGAACTGATCCCAGTCACTTAAAAGGAACGCAGATAACCTCTCCAGAACCTCACCCACTCGAATCAACTGAGACGAGTATACATCTACCTTCTGAGAAACGGAGTCACACGCCGGCCACTCATGGCCCAACCAACGCAAAATGATGAGCACTTTAGACGACCAGCAATCCACTTGAGATCAGACAGAAGAGCCAGACGGAGATCATCTA